CCTTGGGTATACAATTTTATTTCGATCGTTCCTTCCACTGGAACAATGGCAGTGCCCAATATCACTAGCCAACTTCCGATTAAGCTCACTACTACTAATTATTTGATCTGGAAGATGCAATTGGTACCAGTTCTCCATGGATACAATTTATATTCTCATGTTGATTCTACTCATACTGCTCCCACTAAATTTCTTCCTAATTCAGAAACTCCAAATCCTGCGTACTTGATCTGGTTTCGTGAGGACCAGCTTGTTTTGTCCTGGATTGTGCAATCTGTTTCTGAATCAATGATGGCTCAGCTTGTTGGTGTTACAACAGCTCTCGAGGCCTGGACAAAATTGGCGACTGCTTATTCTATTGGTTCTCGAACACATATTCGTCATCTTAAAAATGAATTGCACAGGCTTTCTCGGGGTACTGATTCTATTGAGACATATCTGCAGAAGGCTAAAGCTATTTCAAATAACTTAGCTGCTCTTGATAGTCCTGTCTTTAATGATGATTTATGTGGTGCTATTTTGGATGGTCTTGGTGGTGATTACAGACCATTTGTTCAGAATCAGGAGGCTCGAATGGAACCGGTCTCTTTTGATGACTTGCTTGGGTTGTTGTTGACTGAGGAAAAACAACTTAAACGTGATTCTCTTGATCTTGTTCAACCTGCAACTGCTTTTTATACATCCAAGCCGACTTCGCGTGGAGGAGGCGTGGAGGAGGTCGCGGCGGACGATCTACTCGTGGTAGGGGTGGTCGTTCCGTTCGGAATCATGATGGTTCCTATCATCAGTCTGCTACATCATTCCATGATGTCCAGTGTTACAATTGTCAAGGTTTTGGTCACACTTCACGAACCTGCTCATCCTCAAAAAGGATTTCACATCATCCCTCATCCAATCTTGCTGCTGCTAAACAAGAATCTTCTCACCGGTCTCAGCCTTGGTTAGTCGATTCTGGTGCTACACACCATCTGACGGGGAATCTCAACAATCTCAAACTTGATTCTGAGTACACTGGTCCTGAGGAGGTGGTAATTAGTAATGGTAAGACCTTACCCATTTCTCATGTTGGTCACTCTAGTCTCTCATCTCCTTCTCATTCTTTCTCTTTGAATAATATTCTTTTTTGTGCCTAAAGCTACTAATAGTTTGTTGTCTGTTCAAGCATTCACTCAAGATAATGATGTTTCTATGGAATTCTTTCCCTCTTGTTACTATGTCAAGGATATCCGCACGAGGGTGCCTCTGCTGAAAGGCCAGAATAAGCATGGCTTATATGTTTTTCCACCCTACTGCTGTTCCTGCTGCTACGCTCTTTGTCCAAGCTCATTGGAAGTTACTCTGCTTACTTTAACATGCACGTTTAGGGACACTTAAATAAGCGTACTTTATTGCAGTCTGTTACCGCGGATAATAAAATTTCTGTTTTCTTCATTTAGTTTCCTCTGTTGTTCTGCGTTGTTTTACTAGCAAATCTCATCAATTACCCATTTCGGGAAATTACCATTTTCGGATTCCATCTCTAACATTAATGCACCATTACAATTATTATGTTCTGATGTTTGGGGACCTGCTCCAGTTGCTTCTTTGTCTGGGAATCGGTATTATGTTCTTTTCCATGATGCTTTTAGTAAATACACCTGGCTTTATTGTTTAAAGAGAAAATATGATGTTTTGCCTACGTTCATTAAATTTCGGTCATTAGTTGAAAATTATTTCAACACTACAATCAAACAATTTCAATGTGACTGGGGTGGGGAATATCAATCTCTAGCCAAATATCTTTCTGTCAATGGTATCTCATTGCGTGTTTCGTGTTTATACCCCTCAACAAAATGGGATAGCCGAATAAAAAACACCGCCATTATAGTGGAAACTGATTAGCAATGTTGCATTAGCAATGTTGCATCATGCCTCTATGCCTATTACTTACTGGGATTTTGCCTTTGAAACCAGTGTTTACTTGATTAATCGAATGCCTCTTGCTTCCAAAAGCACTCCTTATCAATCTCTCTTTAAATCGCCCTTATCCCTTGATAATCTTAAAGTGTTTGGTTGTCTCTGTTTCCTTATTTGCGTCCATATGCGAAGCATAAACTTGATTACCGTTCTGATTACCGTTCTAAGCCATGTGTATTTCTTAGGTATAGTTCCATTCACAAAGGTTATAAGTGTCTCCATGTTTCCACCAATAAAATTTTTATTTCTCGTCATGTCGTGTTTAATGAATCTATTTTCCCTTTTTCACAGGTGTGTAGCAATTCTTCCTATTCGACCAAGGTTGAGACTTGTTATCCCTATTCTGTTTGGGTTGGAAAAGGCATCTTATCTATCTCCCCATCAACACCATCTACTATGACATCTGCCCCATCTGCTTCTGTTTTACATCCTTCCCAGTTTCCTGTGATTTTGGCAAATAATAGATCATCAGAATCTTCTCAAGATACTGTTCCTGTGTCTGGTTCTCCCACTATTAGTACTTCTGTCAATCCGCTTGCTACATTAGAACCGATGGCAGAATCTACTTCTGTAGTTGATGTTGCTTCAGCAGATTCTCAATCACCTGATTCTCAGTTGGCAGTCACTGAAAATCAGATTGTTGCAGCTCCTATCACTCGAACACACTCTATGGTGACTCGGTCTCAAACTGGCTCATTGAAACCTCGACTCGGGTATTTTTATCTGTTGCTCCCTCCAACTCTTTTACCATTTGACGGTAAATTGATGCAAAAAAATCAGAAAATTGGCAAAATTGGCGCAATGCTATGGCTGCGGAGCTTAATTCGTTGATTGCTTTGGGTACTTGGTCTTTGGTTGAACCACCTATTGATGCAAATATAGTGGGATACAAATGGGTGTTTCGTATTAAAGAGAAGGCAGATGGAACTCTAGACAAGTACAAAGCGCGTCTAATTGCTAAGGGATTTAATCAACGTCATGGGATTGATTACAAGGAAACATTTTCTCCAGTTGTGAAACCTACGACCATCCGATTGGTTCTTTCTGTTGCTGTTACAAATCGGTGGTTAGTAAAGCAATTAGACGTGTCTAATGCCTTTTTGCATGGGTCTGTGTCTAATGCCTTTTTGCATGGGTCTCTTAATGAGAAGGTTTATATGAGTCAACCCCCGGGGTACAAAGATCCAACTTTCCCCAATCATGTTTGTCTGCTCCATCGGTCAATTTATGGCCTAAAACAGGCTCCTCATCAATGGTATAGTTGCTTGGCTAATGCTTTACTCTCTGTTGGCTTTGTTAAGTCCAAGATGGACACCTCTTCGTTTATTCTCTTGCAGAATGACGTCATTCTCTATTGTCTTGTTTATGTCGACGACATAATTTTAACTGGTAATTCTGTCCCTCGCATAACTCAAGTCATTAGTGAGCTTCAGAAGTCCTTTTTGTTAAAAGACTTAGGTCGGCTTAATTATTTTCTTGGGGTTGAGGCTTCTTGGCATGAGGATCAATTGTTTTTGTCTCAATCTAAATATATACAGGATCTGCTACTTAAAGCCAAATTTCATGCTTGTAAGGGGCTGCCAACACCTGCAGTACCATCTTCAACAAACAAGTCAAAAAATCTGGTTCAAACTTTCTTGTTCGGATCCATCCTGTATTTCGGCAACTTGTTGGGCGCTTAATTATCTGGTTTTGACACTCCGGCCGATTATTAATTTTATTTGTTAACAAATTGTCTATTACATTTGCATGTCATTACATGCATGATCCAATGGAGGAGCACTGGCTTCGGTTGAAGCGGTTACTGCGTTATTTGAAGGAGACAATAGGGTATGGCATTCTTTACAAACCAGCTTCGTCTTCACGAATTTCTGCTTATAGTGAAGCAGATTGGGCAAGTTCTGTTGACGATCGTCGGTCAACTACGGGATTTTTAATATATTTTGGTGGCAACTTGGTTTCCTGGAATTCCAAAAAACAAAAGACTGTATCTCGTTCTTCCACTGAAGCGGAATCCAAAAAATTATTTTTTTCAAAAATACTTTTGAAACTAGCCATTTATAGTTGTTGGGAGGGGTAATTAAGAGATTTCACAATAAATTTTTTTTTAAAAAAACTGACAGTTTCTAATGGCTCGAACCGTCGGTTCTAACCGGCTGGAGAATCGGTTCGAACCGGCGGTTCTAACCGGCCGGAGAACCGGAGGTTCCATCTGGCTCCGACCGGTTTGCGGAATAGCCGGTTTGCGGTTCGAACAAAACTGAAAATGAAACCGAACCGAAAATATCCGGTTCCGGTTCTCACAGTTCCGGTTACGGTTCGAGACCGGTTCAAAGCTCCGGTTCCAGTTCCTGGAACCCTAATATGGCCACCCCTACTGAGGGTCTCTCTTTGTACCAACCAAAACAAAGACAACATACATTTTTATATTTTTTTCTACCGATAAAAGGAAGATTAGAAAGTAGAGAATTCTAGAGAGAGAGCAAAATCTCCTATAATCATGATTTTCTGCACAAATCATCTCTCGTGAAATAGCTGAAAAGTCTCCACCGATCGATAACTCGGATGATTTTGAACAAGACAATGAGAGAAGAGAAGCATCTTGTTGTGGGAAAAAATGAGGCCTGATGGGAGATCGACGATGATGGAGACACAGAGATCAAGGAGGGAGAATACAATGAAAATTACCGAGATAGAGTTTTACAATATTTGATATCTTTTGGATATTAATCTGTGATTTTGATTTTATTTGATTTATGCTTCATTTTGTTTATTCTTGTCGGGAAAAATCTACTCCCCCTTCTTCTTGTTGGGAAAAAGTAAACTATTTAATACGTCATTTATTAAAAAAACAAAAGTAATTTTTCTTTTTTAAAAGAAAAAAAGTAATTTAATTCTTCTCTCATCGTCTCACTTCCAATGTAACCTACCAGGACATCCATAACCGCCGCTGCCTCCGCCATCTGCATCATCAAGCTGAGACTTATTAAGATCGGTGGTTTAGAGAGCAAACAGCTGTCCAACAGATAACACGATTTAAAGGATTTTTGACTGTGAAAATATAAATTTGCTTATAGAACACAATTATTAACTCCTATTTTTCATTTGATTAATTTCAAATCCTAATTTTTCAACTCATTGATGATCAAATAGAAACACTTTACTCTTACAAATCTAAAGATCTAATCTACATAAAATACCCAATTCGGTCATGTTTAAGCTTTGCTAATTTTATTTCTCAGTTGAAGTCTTCAAAGAGAATCCCCTTTTTCCCCATTTTCACTCAAGTCATTTTCTTTGATTTCTTCAACATTGTTCTTTACAAGCTTTCTCTTTCTCTTCTTGCTCTGCTTTTAACTTCTCTTCTTCCTCAGCCTTCTTTCTTGCTTCCTCTTCCTTTGCCTCCTCAAGAGCAGCAACCAAATTCTTTAAACAAGTCTCTTCATCTTCATCTACTGATTTTGGCATCAAATTCTCTGCAACGTCAGCTGGTGTCATCTTCACTTCCCCCAACAGTTTCTCAATTTTCACAAACAATTTGTGAGAATCTATGTCCAAATAATTGTTAGCTAAAACCTTAAAGGCTTCAAAACAACAGTAAGACATTTCTATATGCCTATCCATTCTTCCCCTTCTGATTAAAGCTGGATCAAGTTTCTCCACATAGTTAGTAGTGAACACAATGATCTTTTCTCCGCTGCAAGCAGACCAAATTCCATCAATGAAATTCAAAAGCCCAGATAGAGTCACCTTACTACTTTTGCCTTTTTCTTCTTCTAATTCCTTTTTCTTTTTAGAAATCGGATCGTTATTTTCACCCTTCTCATCATCTTCGTCTTTCTCCTTCTTTGGCTTTCTTTGACCAGTAAGATCAAGAGAACAATCAATATCCTCAATCACAATAATGGACTTACTGGTTGTCTCAATCAATAACTTTCTAAGCTCACTGTTATCCTTAACTTTAGTTAATTCAAGATCATAAACATCATAATTCAAGAAATTAGCCATAGCAGCAACCATCGTCGACTTGCCAGTTCCTGGTGGACCAAAAAGCAAATAACCTCTTTTCCAAGCTTTCCCAATCTTGGCGTAATAATCTTTCCCTTTAGTAAACTTGATCAAATCGTTCTTGATCTGTTCTTTCATCTTTGTCGCCATTGCCAAAGTATCAAAACTCGCAGGATGCTCAAACACCACATGACTCCATTTGGTAGCTTTCCATCCATGCCAATCATTACTTGGATTATTAGTATAAAGCTTTCTCTGCCTATTCTTAACAGAAATCGCTTTCCCTTCTTTAATAACATGATCTATGTAAGACGTCATAATGGTTTCTCTATGACGCCCATGGACAGTGAGTTTAAAATATCTTCTCTCATCCTTGTCAGGATAGAAGGAAAAAGACTGTGTTTTGGGGGTATTTTTCCTTGAAGACCACCAGATTTTGATTCCATTGAAGTCATCAGTAATTTCTTCATGATCATCCATAGTAAGAACAACAGATTGGTTATCTTTAACAACATCAGCCTTTAACCGCTTGGCGCGCATAGAAGAGTTGGCGCTAAGGTAGCTTTGGATGGCGGTATAGACTTCGCTGCGCTTCAGACGCTCGCCTGTGTATTCATGGAAGGTGATGTGAATATAAGGAGAGGTAAAAGCTATCAATTTCTGCAAATATGTTCTGGCGTAGCCATGAAGTTGATCAGGGAAGTACTGTTGAAACATAGCATAAGCAAACATTAGGCTTCCAATTGCGGTGCCAAGATTAGTCCACATCTCTAGTACACTCATCTTGTTTGGATAGAGAGAAAATATTTTGTTTTGGCTTGAAAGATGAGAAAAGAAATGTGTTGGGGTTTGGTTTATATAGTGAGTATAATGCTATGTTTGGCTTTGTGAATTTTTTAGTTTTAGTTTTATTTTTCTTGGTAATTACCTGTTTCTTTCTTGCTAGCTTCCTGTATATACCGAAGAAGGTGTCATGAGGATTAGATTGTAATTTTAATCTTGTTTCTTTCTTGCTAGCTTCCTGTATATACCGAAGAAGGTGTCATGAGGATTAGATTGTAATTTTAATCTAGACAAAAAAAAACAAAAAAGGGATTGTTGGATTCGAGTTTAATTGAATTCACGCGCTATAGTTTATAAATTAAAACAAAGATTAATTTGGTCCTGAATTTATTTAACAAGACTATAAAATTTAGATATGAAATTTTCTGCCTATTTAACTTTTAAATTTATAAAATAATTAAAAAAAGATTCAATTTCACATTTTAAATTTAGCCTTTATTCCTATCTCAAATTTAAACATAAAAACTCAAATTTGAAAATTATTCTATCATAAGCTTTTTTTTTTAATATATATATCTTGTAAAATTCAAATCATCAATTTTGAACGTCTTCGTCAAGCAACAACAGTTAATGAAAAGGTCTTCCAAAATATATCAATTTATTTTTAAAAAACGTTAATATAAATGATGTAACGTGACATTGAGGTTAATGTGGATCCAGATCAGTTAATGCTGTTTTTTTTTTAATTTTTTTTCAGAAGTTTGAATAAAGTTAAAAAGTGCGCATTTTATAAAAAAAATTTTTATAAGAAAAAACTTCAAAATGCCTCATCTAGGTCTAAAGATCAATTTTTAGATTTTAAAATATTTTCCCATTTGGACCATGCTGAATTAAATTAAAGAATGTAAATCCCAGCCCAATGATTCTCAATTTTAAAGAGCTCTTCTTTTCTAAATTTGGGAGAACTCACTTCTGCTCAGAGAGATGAAATTTCTTCTCATTGAAACTCACTTCTGCTCAGAGAGATGAAATTTCTTCTCATTGATTGAAAATCTCTGAAGTCTGACATGTGAATCATTTCATAAATTCATCACAGCAGAAGCTCAACATTTTAAGCCACACATAAAAAATAAAAAAAATAATAAAAAAAAAAACTAATAAACAAGACTAACTTAAAAAAGTTCTGCCATAATTAATTTCTTTACAAAAATTAAATTCTACAACAATATTTTTAAACAATTCTAAAATCTGATATATTAAAATGAGATCAGAGTGTGCTAAAATGGTAATCAGTCACAGTTAAATCAGAAACACGGACCAAATATTACTCATCATATCTCATCTAAAAAATCAAAAGAAAAAAAAATGATAAAATCAAAAACCTTCAGAGATCTACAAGGAAAAAAAAAACTTCATAATCAATTTCATAATCAATCATCAGAGACTTAAATACCATGAATCATGGAACGTATTCCATCATATTGTTGCAGTTTTTTCTCATCAATTGATTGAGATTTTTCATAATCGACATAAAATATAAATGCAAAAAAATTAAAAAAACAATAAAAATCATGTTACAACTGTAAATACAAAAAAATATTAACAAAAAAAAAATAGAAAAAGAAGAACTTACCTGCAGTGCAGTGCTGACCGGCGGCGGCGGGTGAGACCAGAAAAGCAGTCGACGGGCATCAGAACTTGCCTGATGGAGTGAGACAGAGGGAGAGAGGCTACAGAGAGAGAGAGAGAGAGAGAGAGAGAGAGAGAGAGAGGCGTAAGACTGAAATTAGTCTCGCGCGAGAGAGGAAGGCGAATAAATCGTTAGCGGCTGACCAGATCGGTCACTAAAATAAAACAATAATCGGTTGCTATTTTAATTGACGCAGAAAAAAAGCACCGTCACTAATAAAAAAAATTAATAGTTAATCGGTCGCTAATTATCGCACACTCGTTGCTAATCTGTTGCTAATAATTCCCGCCAAATATTTGGTGCCAAATATAGCGACAAAATATATTTCGGTAGCTATTCTGTAATACTTATTGGTGCTAATTCTTGACGCAAAATAGAGCGACGGATGTCAATTCAATCACTAGTGCTAGTTTACCAAAGGTTTCACGAGAAATTTTTATTGCTGGCGGTCGCATCTCTGTCCCTAATTAGCGACTGCATCACGTCAATCATTAAAGTCGTTCACTAAAAAACCCTTTTTTTTTTTTTTGTAGTAATGTAGCTTTTAGTAATTACCTCTATTATTTACAGTGTTCAGCGGTGTAACATTTATACTAGTATTTAGAGTTTGAAACAATGAGTTGTGATACATTACTCCTTTTAATTTTCAATAAGACACTAACAGCCATTAAGACAACAAATTTTACTCAACAATCACTAAAAATATAAATTATTTTCTGAAACAAGTGGAAAAGCAACAAATTATTTATTTAATCATTCTTGGAAAATTCCAAGAAATGAACAAGTAAGTCTTTACCTACCTTCTTTACCAAGCAAACACACTTCATTCCCGAAGTTTTTTCCCTATATAAATAGCTCCACACACCTATATAAATAGCTCCACACAAGTGTTTCAGAATCCCTATCTATCTAAAAATCATTAAACACACTACCAACTTCTACTCCAAAACAGAAACTACTGCCCTTAAGACCCAAAAAAAATGATCATAACAGAGCTATTTACTCAGTTAGGCTCAGCAACTGCTGGCCTAATGTTTGCTTGGGCCGTGTTTCAGCAATACTTCCCTTATGAACTTCGCAGCTATATTGATACATATAGCCAAAAGATTATTAGCATCTTCTACCCATATATTCATATCATCTTTGATGAATATACCGGCGAAGACCTTCGACGCAGCGACGTCTACGCCGCCATTCAAAACTACCTTAGTACCAACTCATCAACGCGCGCCAAGCGGCTTAAAGCTGATGTAGTCAAAGATGGGAAGTCTGTGTTACTTACAATGGATCACAATGAACAAATCTCTGATGATTTTAATGGAATTAAAGTTTGTTGGACTTCAATAAAAAATGATACCAAAACGAAGCAGTTTACTTTCTATCCGGAATTGGATGAAAGCAGGTTTTTCAAACTCACTGTCCATAGACGATATAGAGATATCATTATTAAGTCTTACATAGATCATATTATCAAGGAAGGGAAGGCCATTGCAGTTAGAAATCGGCAAAGAAAGCTTTATACTAATAATCCAAGCAAGAATTGATACGGATGGAGAGGTGCTAAATGGAGCCATGTCGTGTTTGAGCATCCTGCGTAGTTTGACAGTTTGGCCATGGGTATAAAGATGAAAGAACAGATAAAGAATGATCTGATCAAGTTAATGCCATGATTGGGAAAGCTTGGAAAAGAGGTTATCTTCTTTATGGTCCACCAGGAACCGGAAAGTCCACTATGATTGCTGCTATGGTTGATTTATTGAATTATGATGTTTATGATATTGAATTAACTACCATTAAAGATAACAGTGAGCATAGGAAGTTATTGAATTAACTACCATTAAAGATAACAGTGAGCATAGGAAGTTATTGATTGAAACTACCAGTAAGTCTATTATTGTAATAGAGGATATTGATTGTTCTCTTGATCTTACTGGTCAAAGAAAGCCAAAGAAAGTGAAAGATGATGAAGAAGACGATCCGATTTCTAAAAAGAGAAAGGAATTAGAAGAAGAAACAAGTAGTAAGGTGACTCTATCTGGGCTTTTGAATGTCATTGATGGGATTTGGTCTGCTTGTGGCGGAGAGAGAATTATTATTTTTACTACCAATTATGTGGAGAAACTTGATCCGGCTTTAATTAGAAGGGGAAGAATGGATAAGCATATAGAAATGTCTTATTGCTGCTTTGAAGCTTTTAAGGTTTTAGCTAAGAATTATCTGGATGTAGATTCCCATGAATTGTTTGCGAAAATTGAGAATTTGATGAAGGAAATTAAAATGAGGAAATTAAAATGGCCCCAGCCGATGTTGCTGAGAATTTGATGCCAAAATCAGTAGATGAAGATGAAGAGACTTGTTTGAAGAATTTTATTGCAAGTCTAGAGGAGGCAAAATTGAAAGCAGAGCAAGAAGCAAAGTTGAAGGCAGAGCAAGAAGAGAAAGAGAAAGAGAAAGATTCTGATGTAGTACTAGTTAAAGAACCCAAACAAAGAAAATGGCTTCACTGAAAATGGAAAGGAATAAGGTGATGAGTTCCTCCATGTTGATGATGGCTAGGGTTGTGATTTTATATTGTGTGATTGTTTATATGGTGTTATGATTGCAATCTGATTGTAAATCTGGATTGAATAATTAGGAGTCTTTTTAAATATTTGCATAGTCACTGTAAATAGGGATTTGATGTAATTAAGCATTAGTATGATTGTGAATTCAGTATCAATAATATCTTCTAAAGTGTCTTTGTAATTACATGTTTGCTTGTACCAATCACAACCCACATGTTTGCTTGTACCAATCACAACTCAAATCCTCTCCATGCACATGTTTCAAAGGTTTTAGGAGTAAAAGAGTGCTATGAATTTGTTTAATAAAAGTTGAAAATTATTTTTCTAGAAATTGTTACTTGAAATGTTTTTTTGAAGTATTGTTTAATTGTTTATATATATATATATATTTATAATTTTCTTGTAATTTAAATTTAAAATCTTCTAATAGAAGCCTTGATTTCCAAGTTCTTTTAGAAATTTTTAAGTTGGCTTCCTTCTTGCATAAATTTACTCCGCTTTAAAATTCTCTTTTATCATATAACTTATTTATATTGAGTATGTATATTTAATATTTTTTTTATTGATCTGGATTCGGCTTTTTAAGAAGTCTATTATGAGGGTACGTTGCTCAAGAGATCCAGCGACTCATCCCAATGGACCAATTGGTAGTTGGTTATATTTAATAATTTTAATGCTAATAATTTATGCAAATAAAATATTAATTGGTATCTTTCTACTAGGGAAAAAAATTATAATACAGTAATAACAAGTGAAAATATTTTAAATAGCAACTAACTATTGACTCAGTGTATAGAAATTAAGTTAACGAATGCATGCAATTAATAATTTCATTGTTGTAAAAAAAAGGTTGAATACATAATTTATTTAACTTTTGAAGTTTAAAAAAAAAAAAACTTTGGGCCATTCCGAACTTTCACTCTCATCATGCTAGAGTAAATTTTGAAGGTTTAATATTGATTTGAGATGTGATTAATATAACTTTTGAAATAATAATTTTCACATTTTTTAACTGTCCAATAAGTGTTTAATTGATCTAATTTTATAAATTTAATTGTTTAATAGGTCAATTAAAGTGTTTAATATGCGTAATTTTATAAGTTGAAGTGTGCAATAAGAGGTAATTTTATAAGTTGAAGTCTAAGTAAAAGTTAAGGGTGTCACAAGATTTTTCGTAGAAAATACATGGGTGAATTTATATATTGAGCTTATAAAAAATGGAAAATAATTATGATAAAAGGAAAAAATAAAAAGGAAATGAATACGACAAGGAGATATATTTTCTAGGATAAAAAAAAATATTTTCAGTTATTTATTTCCTAAAGAACATTAAATTTATTTTCTAAATAATCTTAAATAGAATTGATTTTGATTGGATTGAAATCAATTTAAAAGTTTTGATTTTGAATCAAAAGGATTCATTCAGTTTCAATTTTTGGTTTTAAAATTGAAATCAGTCCAAAGTGGCTTGAACCAGTGAGAACCAGCTGGAATGGATCAAAGAAAATGAAGTTTCCAAAGAAGATGGTGATGCCTTGTTCATGGTAGGCAATTAAAAATTACCTAATACATAAATTGAAATCTAAATATTATAGAAAAGTTTTGGAAACGTGTTGAACTTACTTTCGTCTTTGAAATAATTATTATAATTTGCAGCAGTATTTCCGTTTTCCCTCATTTTTCTTAATTTGTTTCTATTATTTCTCAATTCTCTTCTTCACCTTAAATTCCTGTCTCTTCTTCAGGATTTCCTGCGTTGTCTATACGTTCTAAACCTCTTCAGGATTTCCTGCGTTGTCTATACGTCCTAAACCTGAATTAAGGACTCTTTGAAGCTTAGATATTTATATGGGCCCATTTTGAACTTTGAGAAATCTGAACATCTCTTACATCTTTTGGTATTTTAATATTGTTTATTTCATGGCATCATTAAAAAATTAAGCATTGAAAAGTCTTAGTTAATTGTTCTTATAGCTAGGTAGTAGGTATAAAGATTGTTGAACTGTTTCTTTCTCATTTTATTTATTATTTTTTTGAAAAAAATTTATTTTTTTATTAGCAAGGGAAAGAGTTTTTTAATAGTATA